CCCCAGCCACTGAGATTACAGCATGCACCATTTTGTCTAGTTTACATGGTTTTGCTTGAGCATTAATTTATAAATGATTGTATTGTTTCATTTTCGGTTCTTTGTTAAACAAAGCAGATTTATTTGATAACAAGAACAAAACTAACAAATCCACTAAGAACATTTTCATCATTTATCTTTGTGATCCAATGAGAAAAAAATTTCAACATTCTAATTTCAAGTGAATTTACAGTCATGCAATGACTTTATTAAAATAAGAATTAATTTGTTTTTTATGTTTGTTTTGTAGTACTGGGAAAAGAATCCAGGACCTTAACATGTTAGGCAAGTGTTCTGCTACTGAGCTACTTCCCCATCCTAGAATTAATTTAAGTATTGAGAAAATCCCCATCTTTGCCCCCTTTTGTCTTAATTACCTCACATTGGCAAATGAAGATACTATTCTTCTAGTCTGTTGCATTGTAAACCTACTAAAATAAAATTTATTACCAATGTCCCATCCATTTTAAAAAAATCCATTTCAAATGTTATCTCCTGTATAAAATATCTATAAATCTCATAAAACAATTTGACAATCATTCCTCTATAAATCTAGAATATTATTTTGTACTATATCTCACATTTTGGCCCCTGTGTCTTCTGTATAAGTTGTCCACTATGTATACCATTCACACTATACCCTGAATGAACAGCAGTCCCTATGTGTATGTATGATCAATAGCAATAACAATTCCTGTCTCCCCTGTACCTACAGTTTTTTTAAAAAAATCTTTTTTATTAACTAATTTATTTTAATTAGGAATATATGACAGCAGACAGAATTTGTATTCACTATATACAATTGCAGCATTACTTTTCATTTCTCTGGTTGTACATGATGTAGCATCATATCATATATGCATGCATACATATACCTAGGGTAATGATGTCCATCTCATTTCACCATCTTTCCTGCCCACATGCCCTCTCCCAACCCCTCTCTCCCCTTTGCCCAATCAAAGTTCCTGTATTTTTCCCATGCCCTCTCCCTTTAAGGAACAGCATCCAGTTATCACAGAGAACATTAGACCTTTGGTGTTTTGGGATTGGTTTACTTTGCTTAGCATGATATTCTCCAAATCCATCCATTTACCTGCAAGTGTCATAATTTTATTCTCTTTTAATGCTGAGTAATATTCCATTGTGTACATATACTACCGCTTCTCTATCCATTCATCTATTGAAGGGCATATAGGTTGCTTCCACAGTTTAGCTATTATGAGTTGAGCTGCTGAAAACATTGATGTGGCTGCTTTACTACAGTATGCTGATTTGGGTCTGGACTGAGTAGTGAGATAGCTGGGACAAATGGTGGTTCCAGTCCAATCCTCTGAAAGAGAAATTAGGAAAACTACCCCAATTCACAATAGCCTCAAAAAAATAAAATAAAATAAAATACTTGGGAATCAACTTAACAAAAGAGTTGAAAGACCTCTACAATGAAAACTACAGACCACTAAAGATAGAAATTGAAGAAGACCTTAGAAGATGGAAAAAAATCTCCCACGCTGTTAGGCAAAATTAATATCGCCAAAATGGCCATACTACCCAAAGCATTATACAGATTCAATGAGATTCCAATTAAAATCCCACTGTCATTCCTTATAGAAATAGAAAAGGCAATCATGAAATTCATTTGGAAAAATGAGAGACCCAGAATAGCCAAAGCAATCCTTAGCAATAAGAGTGAAGCAGAAGGCATCACTATACTAGACCTTAAACTATACTACAAACCTATGGTAACAAAAACGGCATGGTATTGACACCAAAACAGACTTGTAGACTCATGGTTCAAAATAGAGGAAACAGAGACAAACCCACATAAATACACTTATCTCATATTAGACAAAGGCACCAAAAATATACATTGGAGAAAAGATAGACTCTTCAACAAACAGTGCTGGTAAAACCATATGAAGCAAAATGAAACTAAACCCCTATCTCTCATCATGCACAAAACTCAACTCAAAGTGGATCAAGGACATAGGAATTAGTGCAGAGACCCCGTGCCTAATAGAGGAAAACATAGGCCCAAATATTCATCACATTGGATTAGGCCCTGACTTCCTTAACAAGAATCCCAAAGCACAAGAGATAAAATCAAGAATTAATACATTAGATGGACCTCAAACTAAAAAGCTTCTTCTCAGAAAACAAACAAACAAACAAAAACAATCAAATGAGGTGAAGAGAGAGAGCCTACATTTTGGGAGCAAATTTTTGCCACATGCACTAATCTTTAGGATATAAAAAGAACTCAAAAAATGTTAACAGCAAAATCAAAACAAAACAAAACAAAAAAACAACCTAATCAATAAACGGGTCAGGGAACTGAACAGACACTTCTCAGAAGAAGACATGCAATTGATCAACAAATATATGAAAAAATGTTCAGCATCTCTAGTAATTAGAGAAATGCAAATCAAAACTACTCTAAAATTTCATCTCACTCCAGACAGAATGGTAGTTTTCAAGAATACAGATGACAATAAATTTTGGCAAGGATGTGGGGGGAAAGGCACATTGGTACATTGTTGGTGGAACTGCAAATTGGTGCAACCAATCTGGAAAGCAGCATGAAGATTCCTTAAAAATATCTCTTAAACAAGTACTTCCCAAATAGAAAGTTCTATTCATCTCTATGAACACAGTCATTAGCAAAAGAAAAAAAAAACTTGTTTAATGGAAAACTTACCATTCTACTACTGAAATGTCTCTAAGATTCTACCAATTTCAGCTGTAACTATAGTTTATTTAAAAAAAAAACTATACTTCTTTCTTTACTTGTTACAAAGAAGTAACAATAAATTGTAACTAGCACTTTATTACTTCTTTGAATACTCCAAAGAATTTTATTAAATGTATTTGTATACTGTTAATACATAGACTATGAAAAAGAGTCTAAACACATTTTGAAATTGCTGGATTCAATTAAGTTACACTGAATGCAGTACTGGGGATTGATTCCAGGGCCCTGAGTATACTAGACAAGCACACTGCCACTGAGCTATATCCTATCCCTTTTCTTTTTTTGGTGGCGGTGGGTGGGTGGGGGTACCAGGGATTAAACTCAGGGGCACTCAATCACTGAGCCACATCCCCAGCCCTATTTCTTGTTTTATTTAGAGACATGGTTTCACTGAGTTGCTTAGCAACTCGCTTTTGCTGAGGCTGACTCTGAACTCATGATCCTCCTGTCTCAGGCACTGGAGCAGCTGGGATTACATGCCCTATCTTTTTTCACATTTTATTTTGAGATAGAGACTTGTTAAGTTGATGATTTGTGCCAGGATGCCTGGCACCAGTTTTCTTTACAGCATAACTTCTCCAATATTTTGTGTATTAATAAATAACATTAAGAATCTCCAAGAATGAATCCACTGCTTTTACTCTAGAACAGATAAGCTTCATTACCTTCATAAGGACTCATAATATCTAGACTTTCTAGGAATACCTCATTTGGAAGAGGAAAGAAGGAAGGAAGGAAGGAAGGAAGGAAGGAAGGAAGGAAGGAAGGAAGGAAGGAAGGAAGGAAGGAAGGAAGTTAGTTTGTTTTCACTTGGGTCAATGCTTTTTACAATTCTCAATGAGCAGAAGGGAGAAGTTGTTTGTGTAAGGGGTTACCTGCATCTACTGAAAGTATTTAAAAGCTGCATAGCAGGTAAAATTTGCCCTTCTGATTTTGTTTGCTATTACTGATTTGTAAGAGAAAAAAAATTTTAACACTCCATTTACTTCACTGTTCATCTACTCTATATTTAGATTTGTTTCCAGAGGAATCGATGTCTTTATGCATCTAACTTCTACCTCCATCTACTATAAGACAGTATTTCTCAGTGGGGAAGTTCAGCAGTGTAGGAGGTGTTCTGGAAGTGAATGAGGATGTTTTTGGGTCATTGCTGGAATTTCAGGGATAGGAGTTATAGAGATGTAAGAGGTTCTGTTGTGAATAAAACAGTTAATCTTGCAAAATGAAGCCAGTCTCACACATAAATCACATAGGCAAAATCTGATTCATGAATATGTGTGCATAAAATCTGTTTTCAATCTGAACACAATATGTTTTCTACTTTATATGACTTTAATATTAAGAGTTGCAGAAACGCAAATACTGATATAAAAGACTGAACTACGCTTTGTTCAGAACTTTGTCAAGTTTGTCACTATTTCAGAAAATACACCACCAACAGCAATACTAGTTATGGTATTTAAAATAGACTTGCAAAAGTCTATTTGTAACCATCCTATTCACAATCATTATGTGTATCTGACTATTCCACTGGGTATTCTAATATGTCACACCAAAGCATTTGTATACTGAAATACACATTACTAACCTTTATGTATTTATATATTGTACATTTTAAACTATGTGTATATAGGTTTTATCACTTTTAATTTTCATTTCATGTTATGACACTTTTATTTTCAATTTAGGATAATGAAGTTCCATTATAAAATATTTGTCATATAAGAGGGGTATCAGCATGTTTGGTAAAGTTAGAGTGTTAAAAATAAAAAGAAAGAATTTTATGATTGAAGGGAAGAAAGTGAGAACACTGCACATGATAGGGTTAAAAACCATAAAACTAAAGAAAACAGTAACACCTTAGTCAAAGAAAGGTCTGGAAGCACACAAATGGGGAAAGTGAGAATATGACCCTCTTTTCCACTCAACTTCTAAGTTTCCATAGTCTTAAGGAAACATGCTTTCATTGTCTCAGCTTCTTCCAATTTCATAGTTGCATAGTCCTGAATTAGCCCACAGCCTACTGAAAGTGATAAAAATACTTGGACCAAAATGGAACATAACACACAGTTACTGTTACAACAGTTCCTCAAGAGCCTTCTGAATCTGTCAGCTTCCATAGTGATGAGATCACCTTCACTCCCAACCATGATATGGAACTCTATGTTATATTACCCTTCATTTGGTAACAGAATTTTTCAAAAACACTTACCTCAGTAGTAGTTCCAATATCAGCAGATGGGCTGCATGTGCTAGCATCTGGAGGAGCTGTGCCTACACTGCTTCGAACTGGAGAACTAGGGACAGGCCCTACCACAGTATCTGAGTAGGCTGAAAATGAACTAAGATTGCCTCTCCTCTGAATCTTATTCCAAACATTCTTCATGGTATCAATTAACTCACAGAAGAGCTGGACCTAAGCAAAAAATAAAAATAAAAATTAAAAAAGCAAAGAAAACAAGTTTTCAACTTCTAGTTATAAAGTCATAATCCACTAAAATGTTAACTATGAGAAAATTAACTAGTCCAAGGAAACAATCTACAAAACAAATATTTACCATTATTTACCTCTTGCTTTTTGCCTCATACTCATATTGTAATGTCTTATAATCAACTCATCATTTCTGTGGATTAAAACCCTAATAACTTACTAGGAAAAGTAGATTTAACATATATATAAAAGGTAGAACAAATTCAGATGTCTCTTAAACAGAGAACAGAATCAAAATGAAATAATTACTAGAAAATAACTACCATCCTTATTTCTAAAGAATTTGTCTAAATTTTCTTTTTTTTTAAAGAGAGAGAGAGAGAGAGAGAGAGAAGAGAGAAGAGAAGAGAGAAGAGAGAAGAGAGAAGAGAGAGAGAGAGAG